CTAAAGCCTGGTATGTTAGCTTTACATTTCTATAACAAATACCTGAGATAGTCAACTTACAAGGAGAAAATGCTGATGTTTTGCTCACGGTTTTAGGGGTTTAAGTCTACAGCCAGTAGGCTTTTTTACTTTTGGGCCTGTGGCCAGATTGACCCAGAAGCCAAACAGAGGAAAAGAGGTTGAAGTCCCTCGATCTCCTTCAAGGACACACACCTATTGACCTAGACTTCTCACTATGCTCCACATCTACAAAGGCTCTACTACCTCCCAACAACACCTTTCTAGGTTCTTTTCTAACAAGGACCTTTAGGGCATACTTATGATCCAAACAATAGCAATGGGGAAAGAAAAAAAAAATTAGTGCAAAAACAGGCTCCTTGGTCTACTTTCTTTTATCTTGATCTTTCTTCAATAATGACTTTGTGTTGACTTGAGCCAATAGTCTATTCTCATTCCTCCTCAGACAGAAATCTTGTGCTTAATTTCTATTCCAGATCATTTCAGGCGCTTTTCTTTTAGTTTTCATTAAATCCCTGAGCCTAGGTGAGCATGGTGGCACATGTCTGTAATTACAGCTACTCAGAGACTGAATTAGAATGATCAGTTGACCCCATGAATTTAAGACCATCCCTGACAACATAGAAAGACCCTGTTATGGTTTGGTTCTGCATGCCCGCCTCCAAAGCCTCATGCAGTCATGGGCTGGGCTTTTAGAGTTTATGATTGATCCATGATCCAATGCTGGGATTATGGGTGTGAGTGCTACACCTGCCGTGGGGTGCATAGTTTGCATATGTAAGGGAGAGAAACAGGCTGCTTGCTGCTCTCCTTTTTGCTCTTGCTGCTTTGCTGTCTTTCGCTGCCATGAATGGTTGCCCTGTGCCATGTGCCACTGCCTTGGAGCCAGCCAAGTATGGACTGAAACCTCCACAGACTCTGGGCTAAATAAACCTTTCCTTCCTTAATTTTGGGTGTCAGGTATTTTGTCTCAGAAACAAGAGAAAAGTAACCAAGACAAACCCTGTTTAAAAAAAAAAAAAAAAAAAAGAATTCACCAAGTCCAACAGGTACCAGTAGACCTTGTTCTGTACAAAAAAGGATCAAGGACAAGCTTTCCTATATTCAAAGTCACTTCAGTTAGGCTCAACACTATTTTTTACTCTTTGATATCCTTTTTGTTTCACTGAGTTTCCTTTATTATACCGAGTAGCAGGTATCTACCAGGATTTCTCATACACCGCCTGTCTTATCAGTGAGGTCACTCATAGGGATGTTTGAATTATACGACCCTTACCTTTCTCACCATGGCTGACTGGATACCTGGAAAAACTTTACCTACATAGGTTAATTAGATCATTCTTATGAATATAAACTGCTCTGCCTTACCCACTCCAAGGACTGTGATTTGGAGTGCTGTTATCAGGAAACTGTTATTAGTAGCAATCTGCCTCTTCTGAAACTCCGCCTCGCTCACTGAGATCTGTGACTCTCTTTGGTGAGGCACTTTAGAGGTGGCCAGAAGTGTGTGAAAGATACAGCTGTAGCAAGAAACACGTAATTGACTCAAGGACGTGACACTGTGAATTTAAGGGAATGGGTAGATGGGAGAGATATTGAGATCAAAGAAATAGCTAGATTTGGCCAAGAGAGAATGAGAAGTTGAAGATGATTCCACTACCTCACAAAGGGAACATTTTCAATTAGTATTGGAGTGGCTGTTGCTGGGCAGAGAGGGCTCTTTGGAATTCTTGAGTTTAAGTAATGGTTCCTCTCTGCTTCCATAAGCAGCAGTGTGAACCCAAATAGAACTTCATGGGGACCAGGGATGTAGCTCATCAGGGGCCAGGGATGTAGCTCAGTGGCACAGTACCTGCATGACAAGAGTGAGGCCAAGGGTTCAATTCCTGGTACTAAAAACATAAAATTAAATTAAAAAATTAAATAAAACAAAATAAAATGAACTTCACTACTAAAACAGCAGTAAATAATTTAGGAATTACTTTGTTAGGGCTATTCATGAGTTACTGTACATTGAAAGTGGCTACAAAATAGGAGCTAGTTAGTGCCCCTCTTTTATCAGCTAAAGTGCAGCCAGATACCTACTTTATAAATACATGCTTTTAGTTACAAGAGTACAGCACACATTTATGAATATTCAGAAAAATACAAAACCAAAACCGAATTGCCTGTGTCCTTGAGAATTTCCAAAAGTACAGCAAGAGCTCTTTGAGGTGTCTCAGTAGATTACCCTCAGAGGGTGAAGGGAAAAAATGCAATTTTGTTATAAATAGCGGTTCAGGTGCTGCTTATATGGAGTCCCTATTCGAAAGAATTCTGGTTGAAAAAGAACAGATTTTTCAGTAAGAATTTGCAGTTTCAATTCTGGCTTCTGTCTTTACCAGTTGTGTGACTTTTTCCAAATTAGTTAACCTTTCTGATGTTCCCTAACCCATAGTTTGGGGATAGCAATCAATTCACATCCTTTATTAGCAACTAGTATCTCTGAAAAAGGCTTCCATTACTACAATTTTGGACAGAGTTTACATTCACTGTAACAAATATTTGGACGCCCACTAAGAGGACCAAGGTGAATGAACCATTCCAAGAGAGCTTATGTGTAGTCAGGTGTGGGGTAGGCCGGATAAACCCCAATTTTAACAACAGCTGCTGCTGCCCAGCCTTTCCGACATGTCCTGGGTACACACAATACCTCATTTCGTCTCCACATTAATCTAAAATGGCCTCATTCTACCCAGGAGGAAACTAAAATGTTAGTTTGTCCTGGATCACACCATTAACGAATGTTGGAATCCACATTGGAAATGATGCTTCGGATGTCTGAAAATCCCTTTCAAGCAGAGCAAAAGGGTGTGCGGGGCAGTGGGGGCGGGACCGGCTCTTTAAACGCATCCTGCGATCCAGCGCCCGTGGGAGATCCCTGGACTGGAAGGGGAAGAAGGAATCCATACATCATCAGCTTCTCTTAGCCTTTTGGTTTTTTTCCTTTTAGAAAGTTTAACAGCTTCTCACTGTCTGGACGGACTGAAGTTCTAGGAAAAGGAAGGCGGGCTGGGATCCTGGCTCCTCAGCAGGCGGGCTGGCGGCCAAAAGGTTCCAAGGGCCTCAGGCGCACTGGTCTAGGGGCGGGCACACGGGGCGAGGGCGGGTGAAGCGTGGGCCGGAGCTGGCTGGCGGACCCCGCGGGACGTGGAGACCGGAGGGCGCGTTGACAGGCGGAAGCGGAGTTGTGGACTCCGAAGGCCACGTGCCGACTGGGCGGAAGACGTGCGCTCGGGCGGAGACC